ACCTAAACTTACAATACTGTGTTGAATAGAAGTAGTGAAAATAGGCAACCTTAACTTGCTCCTAATTTTAGGGGAGAAACTTACTACCTTTTAAATCTAACATGTGCTGTAGTTACTTTCTCCTTTCATTTGAAATGTTATTCATTTAATCAGTTTTGCCAGAAGCATGTCAATCTTGTTAATTTTTTTTCAAACAAAAACAACTTTTGCTTTGTGAATCTATCATTGTATTGTTTTGTTCTTCACTGATTTATGGCCTTTTTTATTAAATTATCTGTTCTAGTTTCCTTGGGTTTGTTTGGTTATTTTCCCCTATTTTTTTAAAGAGTGATGGTTAATTTATATAATTCAAAACTGAATCTATTTTTATCATTTATTATTTAAGGCTATGAATTTTCTTTAAAGCATTGTTTTGCCATATTCCAGACATTTCTTTACATGTGTTTTATCTTTGTTGTATTTTAAAATTCCAGTATGATTTCATCTTAAACTTTGAAGTTTTTAACAATTTTCTAAAATTTCCAAATATTTTGGCAATCAGATACTCTATGAAATGTGTTGAGGGTTTCTTTTAACTGAGCACCCTAATCAGTTGTTGTATATGTTCCATATATACTTAAGAAAACTGTATTCACTATTTCTTCATGTAAAACTATATACTTGTCTATTGGGCTGAGCTTTAACATTTATTGTTCAAATCTTCTATAGCATTACTGATTATTTTTGTCTGCTTGACTTTTCAAAAAAGGGGAGATATGTGTTAAAGTCTTCTACTATTTTGGTATATTCATTCATTTCCCCTTGTAGTTCTAAACATTTATTTCACGTATTTGGAGGTTACTTTATTAGGAGCACACATGCTTGTAATTGTTATACCTTTTAAGAATAGTGACTCATTATCCCTAATAATTTTTTAAACCTGAAAGCCCTTTTTTCTGATATTAATTTAGCTACATCAGTTTCCCCATGAATATCATTTGCTGGATGTATCTTTTTCCGTTCTTTAACTTTTAATCTTTATATGTCCTTTTACTGTGTGGATATGTCTCTTGTAAGATACTTGTGTCTAGTTCCCGTTTTCTTACGTTATCTGTCAACTCTTTACCTAAGGAGTTTGACCTATTTAGATCATTATTATTATTGATATGTTTTCACTTGCTCTTCTTGTCTTAATTCTTTTTTGTGCTCCATTTTAAAGTTTCTCCTTAATACATTCTTACCACTTTCGCATCCTTTGGGTTCCCTGCCACAGCAACCCAACTATGCTGATATTATCTAAATTGAGTTACATGGTTTTGTGTTTCACTTAATCTTTGATCTTGGATCCACCCCCATTATTTATTCCACAATAACTTTACCAAGATATTCGATCAATTTTATTTTATATTTTTGAGCATGTTCTTTAAATATCTCTACTTATTGAAGCACCTGACCCAAGCTTTTTCCAGTGTTAGTCTTTGTGGGATAAACTTTCTTAAGCATTGTATGCCTAAGAATATTTTTTATCACGGCCTCATGTGTGAATGACATTTGAGCTGCATTTAAAACTGTAAAACTTCATTTTATTTTCTTTCAGTGTTTTAAAATACAGATTTGTTTTATTTTTCCATTCAATTTTGCTATTGAAAAATATTAATTGGACTTTTGTTCTTTGTACATAATCTTTCTTTCTAGGCTTTTAGATTTTTCTCTTTATTATTGTATATTGTTTCATTTTAGTATAATATATCTGAATGTAGGTTTTTTCTGTCATTCCTATTAGGCATTCTACAAACACTTTGATTTTTAAATGAAAATAAAATAATGATAACTTAAGCTGAAAAAAACCTCTGTGGTCCATTGATTATTATTAATTCTTAAAAATGTGTCTCCGTCACTTTAAAAACTACTCTTTCTTCCAATATTATTTTTCTCTCTTTTTGAAACTCCTATTGTCTGTAATTTAGTTCTAATAACTCTATTCCCTGTATTGTTTAGGTGTTCTTTCATATGTTCTATTTCATAGGCCTTTCCCTTATCCTCGTGGGAGATTATTTTTAAAATTTGGTTTTATATTTTATCAATTCTTTTATTTCTTTTTTATCATTTCCATTATGTTGTTTTTCCATTCTATAGGATTTTTTTCTAAGCGTTCTGTTTCTCATATCTCTTATTTCTCCTTGGTCCCTTTGGTCATTATGTTTTTTGTTGATTATTTTATATTACAAATACCTTTGATGTTATTTATAATGTTGCTTGTTGCCTCACTTTTGAAATAGTCATTATCCTCAAATCTTTTGATATTTTGACCTGCTATCTCATTTTCTTCAGGAAATATTAGTTATTGTAGATAGCAGTATATATGTGGAAAGGTTAGACTCTGTCTATTTCAGTCCCTATGACCTCAGTAGTGGAGATATGAATAAAATGTAAGGGGAAGAGCCTCTGATACTAAGAAACTACTGTCAATCACTCCTCACCTCAAAGCAGTTTCTCAGATCAGGAGTTCACTTTTTTCTATCAGAGAGAAGTATTGCCTTATAGAGAAGTAGACTCTGCTCTATCAGGCCTTCTCTCTCACTTTGTTGACTGGATTTTATAATAAATTATTTATTTTATGTCTTTAAAGTTTGTGAATTTTTTGTTAATATGTTTGCCTACTGTCACATCGTAGATTTTGCTTTACTGAGAAAGCAACCTTTTAAAAATATCATAATAAATATTTCTTCATAAAATAGGTATTCATTTGCCTACAGATCTATAAAATAAAGTTAAAACTTGGACCTTATGACATAAGTAACTTATACCTTTCAAAAAGGTTGATATAAGTTTTCTTCGTGAGCTTTTTCACAGGTGAATGCAATCTGTACATTTTCACTAACACTGGACTCTTACATCTTTTAATGGAGAAAATGCACTTTAGGTTACATGAAGTGTATTACACACTTTGAAACTGAGCTCAATTGTTTAATGATATTCAAAAAATGATTAGCCATTTACATGAAATAGAGAAGTACCTACAGCATAAAATTAAATAGGATATTAATTATTGTGCTTTAGGGCATAAATTAGACAATAACCAAGATCAGAAGAATATGCAATGTGGCTACAGTTAAGCAGGATTAGATTCATTATCAGAATTTCAACCCCATTTCTAAGGAATGACACACTGGGTGCTGTCTGACCAGGTAATATGGAGGCAAGGAAATGCTATAGGAACCTCTTGCTTTATTGTTGCAGTATGTCTGTAATATGGCTCCTTCCTTAACATTTCTGCAACTTGCCACTTCTTCATTGAAATCCAGCTGAATTCAAGCTCTTCAGAGGGAAAGTGCCCTTTTCCTAGTTCTGTCCCCTCACTCCCTTTTTGTTCAATGTGTCCATTATGCTTCTCAAAGGCACAGCGGAAATGTACAATTCAGACTGGTGATGCCTCAGCTCGTAACCAACAGGACTTTCAAAAATGACCTTGGAAAATTTACACTTTAAAAAGTATGACTAAGTGAGTCACATCTTAGAAAAACTGCTTTTTGAATTTCTTCCAAAGAATAATTGTATTTATTTGATACTAACACATATTGTCTGCCTAGTTTGCTCAACTTTGTCCCTATTTTACAGATGAGAAAATTGAGGAGAAATAGCGATGACTTAAATAGCTGGCTTTTATAGCTCCCTTCCAAGACCCATAAAGCAAAAATTCTCTTACAATTAAGTTTATATAAAATAAATGTGAAGAGTCCTAATAGAGTTAATAATGAAAAAATATGAAAAAATACATGTGAGAGCCATATAAGTCTAACATGTCTTTATTGACATGCATATAAACTGATGTGATTTCAACTGCATTTTCAAATTTTTCCCCTCAGGTATATACAAAGTTTATTATATATACTATAATGGACTATTATCTCAGAAACTAATTTTGGTCATAATATGTCCTTTCTTCATATTTATTTCCAGTCTGATTTTATCAATTCTCTCAGATTGAATTGGAGTTTTTCAAAAAGTGGGTTGTGAAGTTAGGTTCTTCATGAAGACTTGTTAAAGCATTGTTTCATTATATGTTTTATTCCCAGTCCTTGAGGAAAGAAAAAAAAAATTGCTTCTTATTCAGCTCTTTATTTATTGCACAGAAATGGAATAAAGATACTCACAATGGAAAAATCTTAAAATTTCAAATCCTGCATAGTGAATGCAGCTTGTTCTGGAATAACGAGTATTAACCTGAAATATGAATATTACTTAAATTTGATTTTCTTGGGAAATCAAATCAATAAGCGCACCTTGAATAATGAATTGGTACAATTTTGAATTGTGTATAAAACAACTTAGGTTTTCGGAAAAATTGTTCCCAAGAAGCAGTTCAAGAATTGTAGTGTTGCTATAATTGGATGTACCCTATATTCACTAGAGGCAAAAGTAGTTTTAGACTACTTTTGGTTACCAGCTGGAAATTTATAATAATCTAGAACATTAAGTGTACAATGAGAAAAAGCATGCCTTCCAGGAAGGGAAGAGTTTCTCATTTAATTAACAGTGTAAAACACCTCTTGACTGTGAGTTGCTGGTAGCACTGATGGCATTCAGAAGACTCCCAAAATGTTCAACCATTATACCTAATTTGTGGGATGTGACGAACTTTCCAGCTTTGCAAAGATACATATTGATTTTTGTCCAAAATAATATTTTTAATTGTATCAGTTTATAACCAGGTCATATGCTGGATCAGACTTCCATAACTTTGTAAATATTAATAAGAATGTTCCTTCATACATGAACTGATTTCTCTTTTTGTCTAAACATATATAACTTTTTTCAGTGCATCTTATCCGTAAGCATTTTATGCTGCATTTTTAAAAAGTTAATGCATACTCTTGTCTTGTTTAAAAGCAAAATGCCTTAAATTACAAATTATTATTAACAAAATGCCACATTTAAAGAGGAAAATGTAATATATATAACTAAATATATCAATTTGCACAGAACGTTTTATTAATCTTTTCTTCCTTTTTCCTCTCAAGTTATCTGGAAGTATTTTGGATGTGTATAGTGGTGAACAAGGAATTTCACCAATTAACATGGGGCTTACAAGTGCTTCTTGTCCAAGTAGTCTACCAATGAAAAGAGAAATTACAGGTAGTATTGTTTTTATAGTTTTACCTTTTTTATTTTTATTAATGACATAAGTTATGAGTGACATATATTGTGCTAACTAGAATTTTAAAAGTATAACAAAACAATTACGAAAAAGAAAAGACAGTAAATTCATGATTTCTTTCTATGATAATCAAGCAGTAAGTTAATATAACTTATAGTTTGACTGAATTGATTCATTATTTTGGAAATTGAGCAAATACATATATTTTGTATACATATATAAATATATATACACACGCTTATATACATACATATATAAAGCACAGCTTCATTTAACATAGGTTCATTTTTATATTAAATAGATGCCATTTATTAACATGGTTACAAAGTGATATAATAAATTAGAGAAATTAGTCTATTCTTTGTATGCAGAATTTGACAAAAAACAAATATTGGATTTTTTTTCTTTTTAGCTTGTTTTATGGATTTCATGATAGACTCACATTTAATTTTCTTAATTGAAAACAAACCCTGAGTTTTCAATAGTTTATTTCAAAATTGTTACAACTCAAATTATAGGAGCATAGTCAAGTGCTTCCAAAATAAATGAGGAAATCAACCCAGGGTCAAAGGAGCTACTTTTCCAAAGGTGTAACAGCTGATTATAGGCAAAACTGGATCAACGTAAGGGTTTCCTGACTTACAAGTCCAGTGTTAGTTCCTCCATAAAAATAAATAAATTCACTTGAGATTTCTACAATAAACTTTTGGTCTGGAGCTCAAACACCAGTCTTTAAGAATTTTACATAGTTAATGGTAAAATTTTAAATAAATACGTGACCACTCTTAAAGCTCAATCAATAATTCAAAAATGTATATGCATCCAAATTATTCAGACTATAATGACTGAAGTTCTTAATAAATACACTTAAATAAAATGTATTATTTTATTAACTCTTTAAATTATAACTCTAATAATATTGTATTATTTTTGTTGCATAACAACAAATTACCCCTGAAATTTGGCAATTTGAAGTAATAAATATTTATAATCTCAAAGTAATAAACATTTATAATCTCATTCAGTCTCTGAGCATCAAGAATCCAGGAGTGGCCTAGTGAATTCGTTCAGACCAGAGCCTCTTATGAGGCTGTAGTCAAGATGTCAGCCAGAAGTACAGACACCTGAGACTTGACTGAGGCTGGAGGATGCACTCCCGAGGTGTTTCACTCAAGGTCTTGTAGGATAGTGCTGCCTGTTGGCAAGTGGCCTTTGTTCCTGACTACTTGGACTTCTTCATAGGGTTGCTTGAGTGTCCTCATGACATGACAACTAGAGATCAAAGAGATGCCAATGTGAAAGTTAAAAATTTCTCCTATTATCTAGCCTTGGATTCCATACTAGTCATTTCCACAACAAGCTAGTGGCTTCACAGGTCAGCCTTATTTATTTAATGTGGGAGGGAACTACAAGGTGTGAACACTACAAATTAAGAATCATTGTAGGCCATCCTGGAGGTTGATGGCCATATAAATACAACCACACCATACATACAGGGAAGTGCCATTTACTGGAAGAAAGTGTGGAATTGTTTCATATGGATATTTGACAAATGTAGTGAGTTCCAACTCTTGGGATGTAGAAACAATAATTACTAATAAAATATATAGATTGGATTAATTTCTTTCTGAATCTCAAAATCCTGAAAATAATAATTGCATACTATATTTTCTGTGTACTATATTTCTTTTGGTTATCACAATGATTTTAAGGTAGGTATCGTATTATAGTCATTTTACAGATGAAGAACCTGAAACCCAGAGAAGTGTGGCAATAGATCACATGGCTATTAAATGGAGGGCCAGAAAAGAAATTCAGTTTTTATTATCCCAGAGCCTGAAAGCTTTGCTATTGCCTTTTACTGAAGAGTACTGTGTTCCAAATTTCTGAATATTTGCGTCAAAAATATTATTGTACCATTTAGAGCAAATAATATTTTATTTTCACCTAGGAGTTCTGAATTTCGTTGCCTGGAGGGGTTTTAAGGTAGAACTAAGCTTTGTTTTTATTATTTTTCTTTTGATCAGAAACTGACACTAGAGCTTTAGCAAAAGAGAGACAAAAAAAGGACAACCACAACCTCAGTGAGTATATATTTTTCCGTATAAAATTAATGCAAAAGGAAATGCATAGATGTTAAGGTGTATGGTCTTTTATTATACTCCATAAGTATTTTGATGTCAGATGGCCAAAATTAATTGCACATACAACTTGATTTATTTTGGGAAATATTAACAATGTGAACTCTCAGAAAAGCTACCTATTTTCGCAAAATGAAACATCTCGAATTCCCTCCTTGATCATTCACTCCCAAGGAGGCTGCCTGTGACTGAGATGAGTGCATTTGGTTACATTTGAATTCTGTTGTGACTCACTGATTCAAAGGTGTAAAGAGATAAAAGTGACTTTTGAAAATGTACAACATTTAAATAGTAAGAAACATAACTCTAGGTTCCCATTCTTCTGTGTCAATTTGCTCCTCCCTTCTCAATGATATGTTATCTGAAAGGCATTGCTGTGTTGTAGTGCTGAATTCCACCTCTGGAACAAATAGAGCTCTCATGCCTTCCTAAGGGTTAATTAGACTCTAATAACAGGTCATATGAGATGGAGAAATCAGGCACCTCCTTATTCAGGAGGATGGACCGAGGGAGGTGGCCTGCGCAGGCTCTGGAAGTGAGCTCAGGGAATAAGGGAGGAAATTGCTTGTGCTAATAACCCAGAGTATAGTTTAGAAGGGTTCCCTTGGCCCTGTGGCTGCCTTGCTGAGTGGAGAGAGGCATGGCCAGAGAAGGCAAGAGTGCGTCCTCTAAATATTGATCGGAGTAGTAGCCTCTCTTGTCTGGATCTAAGGACAGGATTGAGTGAATATGTCAAAAATGTTGTTGTGTAGTGAAACCACCGTGGCATGAAGTAGTTTAGTAATTTCTTAAAACTTGACTCCTTTACAAATAACTAGTACTAGGTATGAACAACATTGGGGAACCAGATTTCTCATTATAATTAGCCATTTAAAAATTCATAGACTACTATCTAAGAAGAGTAGAGAAGAAGGTTCTGACATTCTACATAAGATAGATTTAAATAAAATATCTTAAATAAACATGACAGGACAAAAACAGTCCCTTATTTTGAGAAAAAAAAAACTGTGACCTTGCTTCATAGTTGTTCTTCATCTTGTATTTAAAAGTATGGCTTATAAGAGTTAATGTGTGTTGACATAAAATTATTAATAAAATCTTATTATTTATATATATGCATATGTTTTATATATACATTTCTATATATGTATTATATGTGTGTACATATGTTTCTATTAGCTTTACCTTTATTTTCTAGTCAGTGTTTTTTGTGGTGTCATTTAGCTGTTTTCTGAATTATGTGCACAGGGGAAATAGGATTGGTGAAGAGGGAAAATAAACTCTTACCAGAATCGATTATATTCTCATTTTAGAGGAATCACAATGTATTATTCCTAAAGGTCAAATTCATTCATGTAATTTGCTTTGTAGAGTAAGTTCATCAAGGCAATTCATAGTCTGATGACTTTCCTTGTTTCTAGTAGCAGTTCATAATTCTCAAATGTGAACTGTTTAAGTATTTTCCAACATTTAAAAAATATATTTTCCTCTTCTTCATATCCTTTTCTACCTTTACTTCCCTGAAAGTTTTAAACGTATCTGTTGAAAAAGATACCATATACAAGTATATGTTATGGTTCTTGATATTAGGAATATAGAGTAGAAGACTGCTCTTAGAGAAGAGTAATACAGGAAATTTGACAGATATATGTTTTATGTTGAATATTTACGATGTTCAGAAATTTGCCATAAGCAATGAATGTATGGAAATGCAACAAAAGAAAACAGTCTCTGAATAAGCTGATATCAGTAGTTTTCAAAGCATTGGCCCTACAAAAACAGTATCAGCATCACCATGAAACTTCTTAGAAATAGAAATTCTTGCCCACTCTTGTCCCCCTACTTCCAGGACACACTCAAATTAGAATCCTTAAGTGTGTGGTGCAAATCTGTTTTAATAGTCCTTCCAGGTGTGTCTACAGAGTGCCAAAGTATAACAACAAGTTATTTATATATTATTGGAAACTAAAATAGAAAAATAAATTTATGGTCTAATCAATATACATTTATTTACCCCCTCCTGTATGTCAAGCTCTCTGATGATACTAAAATAAGTAAGTTAGGTCCCTGCCCTCAAGGAGGTCATAGAGTCTAACTGGATACACACACCTACTATGTGCTAAACATTGTTAGACTTTGAGGACAGTATATGAGAAGAGTAAAGAGTGTTGCATGACCTCAAATGATTACAATCTTGATGGATTGACAAATTGTCAATGTATGAAATAATCAAACAGATAACATATGAATATATATATACACATTGCATTATGAATATTATAGTATTTTAAAGAATTTTTAAAAATGTTTTGTGACAAAATGTTGTTAAAACGGTGTAAATTGTATATTTATAATTCTAATATTGAAACTTTTACTTTTAGAATAAAGAATTTTTAATTTATTCTTGAGAAGTATTATCATTTGACTAAATGGAAAGTTTTTTGCCCATTGTTTTTAAAAGATTATTAAGAAAGTTTACAGCTGACCAAAAGTGAACTGTGCATTAATGAGAATAATCAATAATGTTTCTTCTTTAATAGTTGAAAGAAGAAGAAGGTATAATATTAATTACCGAATCAAGGAGCTTGGCACTCTTATTCCAAAGTCTAATGATCCGTGAGTTCAACAATCATTTCTATAATAATGTTATAATTTAAAGACCCCCAAAAATGAATGGGAGGGAAAAGGGAGGAGAACCAATGACTAGGAAACTAAGCAGCTTATGGCCAAAAAAAGGCTATTGCTGGGCTCATTTTAAAATGTCTATTCCAGGCTGATTGTTATTGAGCATCAAGGCTGTTACAAGAGTTGTCCGTTTGAGCTATAAGAAGTAAATAAGTTATTTCTCCTCAATTCATAGTGAGTCTTTCTGTAAGGTGACAATATTTTCAAATTTAGTGATAATGTCAAATATTATTTATGATACAGACTGGTATATTCAATTTTTATGAGTATAACAATTCTCCCAATTTAAAATTTGCATGCAAGTGAAAATAGAATTGTTAGATTTTCCAAGGTCCCCAAATTTTGGAGACACACAAGTAACAAATGGAATTGTAAAAGCATATTGATTGATGCTGACCAGGCTTTGTGCTGTATGCACAAAATGTCCATCAAACAAATTAGTTACTCTTGTAAATATTGAGAAATAAAGTGTTAAGTTAAAATATTGAATGTTTCTTTAAAAATAGAACACCTGTAATCCCAGCACTTTGGGAGGCCGAGGTGGGCGGATCACTTGAGGTCAGAAGTGTAAGACCATCCTGCAACATGGTGAAACTCCATCTCTACTAAAAATACAAAAATTAGTCTGGCATGGTGGCGCATGCCTGTAATCCCAGCTACTCAGGAGGCTGAGGTGGGAGAATCACTTGAACCCAGGGGGCAGAGGTTGTGGTGAGCTGAGATCGTGCCGCTGCACTCCAGCCTGGGCAACAGAGCAAGACTGTGTCTCAAAAAAAGAAAAAAAAAAAGTGAAAACATGGAATCTGTAGCATTAATAATGATTTGAAAATATTTCCTTAAAACTGAGAATTATTTTTTTCTCCAAATACTGGATATTATTCATTATCCAGAAATGATCATGTTTGATAAAGTCATACTTGTGTGCCAGGCACATTGTCTCATGCCTATAATCCCAGTATTTTGAGAGGGCCAAACAGGAAGATTGTTTGAGGCCTGGAGTTCAAGATCGGTCTGGGTGCAATCCCATCTCTAAAGAGAAAGCAAGCAAGAAGGAAAAGAAAGGGAAGGGAGAGGAAGGGAGGGGAAGGGAGAAGAGAGGAGGGGAGGGGAGGGGAGAGGACGGGAGGAAAGGGAAGGGAAGGGGAAAGAAAGAAAGAGAAAGAAAGAGCAAGAGCTGGGCGTGGTAGCATGAACCTGTACTCCAAGCTACTCAGGAGGTTGACACAGGGATCGCTTGAACCCAGGATTTCAAGGCTGAAGTGAGCCATGATCGCACCACTGCATTCCAGCCTGGGTGATAGAACAAGACGCTGCACCTCCCCGCCCCACCCCAAAAAATTACATTTGTGAGATTTTGAAGCACTTTTTCTCTAAATCCGAATTTGCTCATTTACTTGGACAATTCAACAATTCGTTAGAAAAGGGAATGCAATATATGTCCTTATGTACATATTAGACTGCAAAGACATTTAGGGTCTGAAGAGCTCAGGTCTAATTTAGACTCTACTCCAAACTCTTCAAATCTTTTAAAGTATCTAAACATGTGACTCTGTTAGCTAAAGAAAACACTTGTCTTCCCTATATGCCTGTGTTTTTATAAAAATAAAATCAAATAAGGTATATGGGAATAGTTTGTAAGTTATAAAGTTTTATGAGAGATTATTACTCCAAATTTTAATAAAAACTTTATCTAAAGACTCCTTTCTAGTTCTAATTCATTTTCTAGAACATGGGATGGTAAGCATTTTTTGTATAGGGCCAGATAGTAAATATTTCAAGCTTTGTGGGCCATACAGAAAGTCTTTGTCACAATTATTTAACTCTGGCATTGTAGCACGAAAGCAGACACAGACAACATGTGAAGGAATGAGCTTGACCACATCCAGTGAAATGTATGGACAAAAATAAGCTATGGGCTATAGTTTGTCTACCCTTAGTCTAGAATATGAAAATTCAATTTACTGTAGACTTGTATCTAAAAGAGACCAGAATTGGGAAAACCACATTGCAAGCATTGTTTTTCTCTCCCTTACGAATCTCAGAAAGAAGGGTTATTATTTGTTTTAATTCTATTATGTTGTATGTAGGAAATAACATTTATTTGGGGTCTAATGGAAAACACATTAATTAGATGTTGAGTATGTCTATACATGGATCTTTCTGTATATCACAGATAGAGAAGACACTTCATTGAAATGTGTGGCATTCCAAAAGTCTCAGTACCAATTCTGTTTAAATACATTTTATTCCTTGTCTTGCTGTGGCCTGACCTGTTACTCCCGTGTCCCTTTTTAGGGTTTAGCAATGAGGGTCCCATGGTTGAATCCAGAGCATATCCTCTTAAAATGGACTTTACCTGAGAACCGTGGTCTGGCTCCATGGACTAAGGAATACTCGTCTACATGACAAAATTATTTTGGATCCATTTGTCACATTTTCAAATGTTATTAGGGATAATCTGAAAGTCACAGGAAACAAGAATGCTGGGGAAAGGGAAGGGTCGCATAGAGGAGGCAAATTTACTTTGAGGGTGAGAAAAGGAAAGAAGAAATGACATTATTATGTTATGACAATGAGAAAATTAACAAACAGTGGATCTGGAAAAAAAAAACAAAAACAAACAGAAAAAACCCTTCCAAGATTTTAGTTTGAGTTTAACAAATTTTTGAATAACTTGTTGAACAGGTGACTACAACCATTAAAATGACTAAGAACAATTTTTAAAAATAAAAAGTACATCAGAGTATACAATTGTCTAGTATGAGATACTTCAAATTATGTGCCATACCTATTAATGGGTCATGGAATCACTCAAATGAGACAAATGCAGCATTTTAAACAAAAAAGGAAGAATAGCATTGAAAATATAAGAGTATTACATGTAAAGAGAATAGGAAAGCTCTGTGAAATCTTTGTTGCAGTTTTATCTACTAAGAGTGTGCCAAGTCACTATATAAAACGTATTTCTTGTGGCAGATGCATTTGAAAGGTGGGAAAGCCACAGTTGGCAGAAGAAGTACTGAACTGAGTGAGGAAACCTGGGGCTTATCTCCTAAACCCCATATACTCTTGGGCAAATGGCAGCAACTGTGGCATGGTTGACCTTTGAGTACCTTTCCAGCTCATGATTGGAAGATATTTTGGAGTTGGCTTAGGAAATAAAAGTTAATACCTGAAGATACTTTGAATTCTATGAAGTTTTTATTTTTATGTATCGAAACATTCAGAAAATTCCATTTCTTTGCAGGTCATAATGGTGAGGTCAGAAGGAAAAGTAATACAGAGAATAGCTGTAATTGAGAAGTATAGGTTGAGAAAACTACGTGAAAAAAAAACCACGACCAGGCAATGACAATCTCTTGACCAGTGTTAAAAAAACAAAACTCCAACAAAAATAACAATCAAAGAGAAAGCGTGAAGAGCTTCTACAACATGTAGTAGTTGTCCTCTTTAGCTTTCTTGGAAACACTTTTGTCCGTATGTGTTTTTGTGAGCCATGTTTACAAAAATTACATGAGTAGAAATTTAAAAATAGTATTAGATCATTAATTACTCTATTACTCTTGTTTTTGCACTTTAAAAAGTTTTCTAAATAGTTTGAAGTTTTTTTACTTTATCTTTCCTCCCCTCTACAACGAAATTCCTCCTGCTTTTCTGTAAGAATGATAGTTGGCACAGCATATGAGACCTGACAAAGCTTTCTAAGTCGGGAGTCACAAAATGTTGAAGCAAAAAAAAAATAAATAAAAATAAATAAATAAATAAAAAATATTCAGACCTGTCATAGTATTTTTTTCTCTCTTTTTTAAAATCTTTTTTAAATTATTTTTTAATGCTTTTAAGTGGATGTTCACTCCTCAGATAACAGATTGTACATTTTCCATAGCTTTGCCTGGCAGCACTCCTTACTTACTCCAATTTATACATTTGTATTATCTGCTCTGACTGTAAATGCATTCAGGCTTTCAATCCACCAAAGTTTTAAGATTTTAAAAAATCGTTGTGCAGAAAATGAAAGGCCAGCATCAACAATCAACACTTATTCTTTAGCCATGCCTTTATTGGTGTGTCTATATATGGTACCACCCTATGTAATATTTATAATGCCTCTTTGCTGAAATTGTTTTGGGAGAGAGGCAAAAGTCTCTTCAGTAAATATAAAAAAATAAAAAATAAATTAAGAAAGAATCTTGTACATTAAAATGTCTTTAAAATAGAGGAACTTAAAAGACATATTGTAAGTGACATCAGGTACAAATTGAAGGGAGGCTCATTGTGTGTTCTCTACCACCATTTTGAAGATTTGTTTTTGAACTAAATAGTACTTTAAACTTCAAAGTTGTCTAGGGTTATCTTTTTTTTTTTTTTTTTAACATATTTCTCTGTCCTCAAGTTTTTCTTCCCATGGGAAAAAAATGACACAACATAAGGGTCCATAAGGCTTTTGCTACTACTTAAATTTTAGTTTAGAGTCCATTACACGATTCAGTTACAGATACTTAGTTTAACACCAAAGAGAGCCTGTCTCTCCCCACCCTTCCCACCACCACCATCCCACCCATTCCCCTCAGCCCCCGTGAGTGGAGTGAGACCAACAGCCATTATAGCCTTAAAGAAATGACAAAGCATTTTCAAACTTGCGATGTCCGTTGACAATGTTTTGGTGCACTGCAGTAGAACAGAGCTCTTATCCAGGCTCCAGTAAGTATTTTCACCTGCTAGTAGAAAAATGTCTCTTCTTTTAATATTTTACTGCTAATGGCATTGTCTCATCACTAAAAATATATGTAGAAAAATGTTATATTTCCTACCTGTGCGCTTTACGCTATACTAAAAACATCTCATGACTCTAAATTAAAAACGCATCCAGGTTTTCCAACAACTCTGATTAACACTTAGCAATTAGTTTGGACTCATTCTGCAAACATATTATTATTTCTCATGCAGTATTACATTCATTAATGTATATTTTCAGATACCAAACTCAGTAGCCTCTTCCACAATGTCATAGCTTTAATTTCTTCTGTCTTAAAAGTAAGTTTTAATGAAATGATTTCTTCTATGCTAAAGCCTAAAAAGTTATCCAGTAATGTTTAATTATATTTACTTATCTTAAATGTATTTAAAAACAGCTACTCATATCAAGCCTTTAAAAAGTTTTGATGATGTTTGTACAGAAAAAATGGCTGAATGGTTTTAGAAAGTTTGCTCTATTACATAAAGTGATGTTGCCAGAGTCTGATTTGTTTCACAACTGCTCAGGATCACCATTCAGGAGGGACTTTATTTTTTTCTTAGAAACATAAAAGCAACCTTATTAGAAAGTAGGTTAAAAGATTGCTACATTTGAAATGATCTTAAAAAATTTAGGCTTAAGTCCTCAGTAATGTACATTTCCTAGTTCATTAATGCAGAAATACTGCACATAGATTTTAATCTTGGAGTTAATAATAAAAGCAATTTTCACTAAAAATATAAAAACTGTAATGGTAGAATCATGATATTGCATTTAGCTCTCCCACAAAAAGTCACTTTATTACTTTCTTTTGACACTTATTTTCATTCTGGGATTAATTTTACTATATAAGGGCTTCTTAACTATTCTATTAAAATTTCTATTCAGAAGCAATAATATCTAAGAGTGAATAATAGTCATGTAAATCATTATTTCATATTAATGTAAAAGATTTTGTAAGTTCTTATGAATTCTGCTGACATGCACAATTGTGAAAAGGTTATCTCTCCGTTCTACAGTGATATGCGCTGGAACAAAGGAACCATTCTAAAAGCATCAGTGGAGTACATCAAGTGGCTACAAAAAGAACAACAGAGAGCCCGAGAATTAGAACACAGACAGAAGAAATTAGAACAGGCTAACAGGCGACTTCTACTTCGGATTCAGGTTTTTATGAGAATGTTGCCATGAGCCACATAGCTTACATATGACTCAGCTGTCATCAGTTTTCTTCATTGGTCTCATTTATTTTTTCTCTTATTAACAATTATTTTTCCTTTTGAAGGATAATTTTACTGCTTTTTAGAAGTTCGTGAATTGGATTGTTTCAATTAGGTTTTGACTAGAAATCCAGGATCAAGATAGCTGAAAATGTATATATGTATATACACATATGTGTCTATATGTGTGTGTGTATATATACACATATATAATGACAACAACAAATTACAAAATGCACAAAATATAACACATTTCATAAATGCACACATTATTATCCCAATCAAATAATGATACTAAGTAGAACGCTTGTTTCTCTAGATTATATTGGACATTAAATTCTCCCCTCCTTCTTTCATTTCTTTCCCGACATTGCTATGGTTTTCATTGCCTCAAGGAGTGTTGTGCCAGTTTATATTAAGTCACTTCTCATCTGTTCATATAATCCAAAATATCAAAACATGGGCTTTTATAACTCTCAAGATTTTTTTAAAATGTGAGTATGCTTAGCACCAGGTAAAGCATTTACTGCTTCCATGAAAAGGTCCTGCATTTATGGTGAGAAATTAATCAGGAAGAATAAATAGATGACTTTCTGCTATCTCCAAATGGCTGTATTGTAGTCTGAGCCACTGTGGAACTATCATCAATCATAAATTCTTTTGTAGAACAATGAGACCGAACTTAAAAAAAATCTGAATAATTTTCTCAGAGTTATTTTTCAGACATCAGAAATGTATCAATTTCATTATTTGCAAAGATTATTCATAATTTGCATTGCATTATTCTTCATTTTAAATGCTTGTTAATATTTTGATTCTATGTCTGGCTTATTCTCTACTGTTAAATCCAATTTCAAAGATGTTATTTAATGATTTTCATTTGAAATTACAGGAACTAGAAATTCAGGCTCGTACTCATGGTCTGCCAACCCTGGCTTCACTTGGCACGGTTGATTTAGGTGCTCATGTCACCAAACAGCAGAGCCATCCTGAGCAGAATTCAGTAGACTATTGCCAACAACTGACTGTGTCTCAGGGGCCAACCCCTGAGCTCTGTGATCAAGCTATAGCCTTTTCTGATCCTTTGTCATACTTCACAGATTTATCATTTAGTGCCGCATTGAAAGAGGAACAAAGATTGGATGGCATACTATTGGATGACACAATCTCTCCATTTGGAACAGATCCTCTGCTATCTGCCACTTCCCCTGCAGTTTCCAAAGAGAGCAGTAGGAGAAGTAGCTTTAGCTCAGACGATGGTGATGAATTATAAGAAATAAACAGACCCAATTCATCAACTGGAAAGCAGTTCTATGCTGGTGCTATGCAATTATGCTCTGTGTTTCATATGTTGCTTTGGCTTATTTTTTTCCTAAAGGAATGTGGTGTTCATGAAAAACTGATAGAAGCAACAGAAGAGTTCGCAGGAAGAAAAATCATGGTGTTAATGAATTATTGAGGGTGGAAAAAAGGTGTTTTCTTCTTTGACTACAGAGTCCAAATCCACTTAAATTCTGTTTTACTGGAAAGAAGGACAGCATAAGAAATAGCTCTTTAGTGATGCTTTAAAAGCAGCAACTTCGTGGTGTACTACTGGAACTAATGACTGCAAAGTATAAAATGACTGAAACATACAAACCGTCTCTTAGTTATTCATTTCCATCTTCTCTTCAACTTTTACATCAGTCTTCAAGAATCAAGATCAGCATATCAGGTGGTCATTGCCTTTCTCCATTGTCTAGTAGATACGTCTAAAGTTCAAACTTTATAGGAGAAATAATGATATAATAGATTATCTGTCACTTGCGGTTGAAAAGCAAATCTACAATAAATGTGAGAATTTTCCACAATAAAATATGGATGACTTATAAAAACATTGGTTACTAAAATTAGATCCTCATTTCTTTAGTTGGTTCAATTACACTAATTCTAAAAGCATCCATGCATATTTATATCTCCAGACTCTGTTCAGGAAAAGGAACACATGCAATATTTTCCTCAGGAATATGGACCAGAATTGTATCCCTTCACACAAACATACACCCACAAGTATGCACATAATTCAGGTAGTACATGTTCTTTTGTTTTCTTCATTCTTCTGACTGCATCAGAATCACATTCCAAATTCTCTTTTCTTTATTAAGAAGAGATGTCAGACCATCAGTTTTAATAAATAAAATATAAAATGTGCCCCTACAAGGACAGTTTTCAGGTACTTAAAACTTTTCATCGTGTCCAGTATTGGACAGAAATCAATTAGTTGTTGATTTGGTTTTGCTCCAAATGGATAAAATATTGAAAATCGAATAGCCAATTGGCAAAATAATTATTATAAAAGAAACTATTCCTGGCCGGGCGCGGTGGCTCAAGCCTGTAATCCCAGCACTTTGGGAGGCCGAGGCGGGTGGATCACGAGGTCAGGAGAAGACCATCCTGGCTAACATGGTGAAACCCCGTCTCTACTAAAAATACAAAAAACTAGTCGGGCGTGGTGGCGGGCGCCTGTAGTCCCAGCTACTCGGAGGCTGAGGCAGGAGAATGGCGTGAACCTGGGAGGCGGAGCTTGCAGTGAGCTGAGATCCGGCCACTGCACTCCAGCCTGGGTGACACAGCGCGAGACTCCGTCTCAAAAAAAAAAAAAAAAAGAAACTATTCCTTATTATTTTCAGTTCTGAGAGGAACATAAGGTTCTATTTCTATAAGCACTTAGTGTGTCTTATGATCTTTGGTTGCACTGTTAGCATTTATTGTAAGCACTTATAACTATGATGCTTCACTTAGATTTTTATCTCTTGCGCTTGTTTTAGGTTAGCAAATTAAGTTACCAAGCACCTTGCTCTGTGCTGGACCTCCATGAGTGATCATCCGATTAATCAGTATTTATGGAGGCGTACTCAGAACTGCAGTGAGTCCTGAGAAAATGTAGAATAGTTGAAAAAGAGATGGTCTTACTCCTGAGGTAGTTAACAAGAATGCATGAAAAACAAAAACAAAAGATAGAGGACATAGAATAAAAAAATCTAAGCATAAGCTGTAAATACAGAAGGTCAAAGAAAATGAAAATGAATGACAAAGTTTATGGGAACAGCAGAATTTGACTTCTCTTTGAAAGGCATTAATTGAGTGAAAGTGAGGGCATATTAAAGGAATAATATCAACCAAATGATAAAAGTGAGAATAATTGGGAAACTATCTTTATAGGACTTGCATTAGAAAAATCTGGATGCCCTAGATGTCGGGAGTTCTGAAGCATAAGACTGACAACAGGTTGTGAAGGCCCTTAAAAACTATGGTGAACTAATATAGTATTAATATAATAGAAGCAAATATTTTTAGTAGCCAGGAGGATGCTAAAAACTAAAACATATATTACTAACTTGAGTGAGATGTAATCTTTCATGAATATTAAGCTTTGGGATAAATTTTGAAAGGATCTTTTAGTTATTTCTCACATGGAAAATATGTTACTATAAAATGTGAGACCCTAATGCTGATAAAAGTAGAAAAATAGTAGATCCTTATGGTATAATAATTATCTCAGGCTTAGTTTGTATCATTTGCCCAGATTTTGGAGAATTAAAATAATTTTATTGTTTGACATGGAAAAATAATTACTAACTTCTGGGTACAGTCATTAAAGCCTGATAGATAAATTAATCTGAAATATGCCATGTAAAACAGCTATTAGATACATCTTCTCAATAATTTTCAAGAAGATGTTACATACTTTTAATTTTATAACAGAATTTCACTTCATCATCTGAGTTGATAATTTGATTAAATGTCAAAAAGTATAGATAAGGAATATATTTTGGAGTTCATGGAAAACACACCAGTTTATTTGATAGAGACTGGCTTCAGTTCTCATTTTATCTACTCTTCTCATTTCTTCATATTTTGAGTATCCTTGCACTGGTGATGTCATTACTCAGTCATTATTTTCCATTCTGTTAAGGTACAACTACTGGGCCCTGAAACCTATCCTTCACAATCTTGGCTGAGATAAGGACTTGGCACAGGATGATAGAACCTGGACGCAGATAGATCTGGAGAGGGAACTGATATTTGCTGCTACATTTAGATTATGAGATGTCAGGGAACTGTAAAATGGGTAATGAACTTTTAAAGAGAGTAAAGAGTTGTGCTGTGTCCCAGTCAACTGAAATAGATTAAAAATTAATTAGATGGTAGTTATTAATTTTTTATTTAGTTATTTATTTTTTTTTTTTATTTTTTTGAGATGGAGTCTCGCTCTGTCGCCCAGGCTGGAGTGCAGTGGCGCGATCTCGGCTCACTGCAAGCTCCATCTCCCGGGTTCACGCCATTCTCCTGCCTCAGCCTCCGGAGTAGCTGGGACTACAGGCGCCCGCCACCACGCCCGGCTAATTTCTTTTTTGTATTTTTAGTAGAGACGCGGTTTCACCGTGTTAGCCAGGATGGTCTCGATCTCCTGACCTCGTGATCCGCCCGCCTCGGCCTCCCAAAGTGCTGGGATTACAGGCTTGAGTCACCGCGACCGGCCAGTTCTTAACTTTTTAAGGCAGATCCCTTGAGAATCTAATGAGTTATAGACCCTCTCCCTAGAAAAGTATAGAACAGTTTATATGGGTAACAATTTGCATGCATTCAGAGATCTTAGGGACCTCCTGAATGTTTTCTTGGATCCCAAGTGAAAAATTCCTGAATCAGGTCTGTTAGGTGTGCAGTTAATGTCATGTATAACGATGGGGGGACCCCTACTTATCTAAATATAATTATTCCAATCCTAATAATGAGGAGGTTGCATAGGAAAGTAGTAGTGTACCAAAAATTAGATTAGTCACTAAAAATGTTGTTCATTTATAAAGTAGTTGTTTTTCAAAATGTCCTCCCCACTCAGCAAACTACGCCTTCTATTTATTATATGTGGGTCAGTTTCACTATAATTACTGAGGGTTATAAACATCTGACCATAACATTTCAAAATGATGCAAATAAATTTCAAAACAAAAATAATGTGAATTTAAAAGCAAATTATTTGACTATCTAAGATTCAAGATAGACCCTTAGAAAAATTTATGACTCTCTAGAATATTTTTTGCAGAAATGAGATTTTTCATAATAGTAAAAGAGGCATATTGTTTATCAAACAATGCTGTCATAAAAAGCATCAACTGTAATGGGACTATTAAAACACAATATATCGATTTGTTCATTCAATTAATATACAATTATACCTTTTCATTTAAAGATTTAATTCATAATTACAATTATAATAAAACTTACTTTAAAGTAAGATACAATAATGTTATTGTTTTTCATTCTTTTTTCAATAAAATATCCCAGCCAATCATTTTTTATATTATTAAATGTTGGCTGCTTTTTCATGGATTCACATTAAACAGCCCTTTCCACTTTCCAATTAGCTTAAAATAATGATGACCTACTGTTAGTAGATACAGCTCTTTACAATTTCTTTTCTTTAGTACCTTTTCTTCTTGAATTTTTCCTATATCAAATAGGGAATATATGTACAGATGGTATTTCCTCAGTTTATAGGCATATCAGTGACCATGGCTTTCTTTACATAGGTTTAAAAAAAGCTCTAAATAATAAATAGCCAGATGAGCCGGGGACATTGAGAAATAGCCGCCTTCTTCCTTTTTCAACTCATTTTTTCCCACCTACATGACTGTAAATCAAATATTTAATAGCTCTTACTTAAAAAAAATAGATACAAAGAATGTCTTGATTTGGTGTGCTCATTTACCATTATGTCATGAGAAGAGTTAGATTTCACAACTTTAAAAGGAATATATTTTTATTTTATTTTGAAAAACTGAGTTGTATAGGAATTTTCTTATACTTCAAGGTATCATGAAAACACTTTTTTCCTGTTTGGATATTGTGGAATTTAAACATTTCAATAAATAAATGGCATAACTAAGTGTTCTAATTTTCTTTCTTTCTTTTTTTCTTTTTTCTTTTTTTTTTTTTTTTACAATGTCTTTGACCCTATTCAAACATTTTAGGTATTTACTGACCATCTGATATGTAAGATGTGGAATAAAACTGGAATCAATTAATTATTTCACTGTGTTATCAGCACAAGATCAACCATCTGAGTTTCTTAAAAACACCTAAAGGATTGAATTTTGTTTCAGTATTAATAATGGCATAGTCTCTGTGTACTACATGGAATTACATCATTTACCCCTCCAGTGCTCCATATGTTGATAAGTATGTCAGTTTGACTTAGTATACATATATACAGAGATTTCATTACATTTGCCTAATAAATACTAAATACATTTCGAGTGTTACTGATCTCATATGTTATATGAGCCTCCAGTAATCATCGTGCATTGATGTTCCAATATTTTATTATTTGTATGAATTTTAATTTGAAAACAAGGAAACAATTCAAAACCAGAAAAAAATAGCTTCTCTTAGAATTTTCAGTGCTACATTTTCCCTCTGAGGTCCATAGAGAATTTGAGTGTATAGGAGATTATCAGAAAACAGCTATTTTGATTAAAAAATATATTCTCCAGGATTCAACCAACTTAACAATGAAATACTATTGTCTACTGCTTTATACATAAAAGGGAACTTTTTATCTGCTTGTAAAGGGATTTTTATGTGTATTTCTGCATAATCAGATGATTTCTATTGTGTTTTCTACTGATGAAATTCTCTGTAAAATGTCTTTTTCTTACATTATCCAACAGGCATAAAGAATAACGGTAAAGACTTTTGTGTTTGTAATACTACCTCTTTTATCCCTGCACTACTGTTTTATTTCAAAAATTCTATATTTTCAACTGTATTTTTTTCCACAGAAATAAATTTTGTTTTTGTGTTAAAGCTGGTAGTTTATGTAGCAAACAAAACATA